CCCATTATAATGAAAATTAAGGGGGGGTTAAATATAAAGAATTATTTTGCAAGTACAGATTTTTTTTACTAGGTTTTATACACGGAGACAGCTGTTTTCTTGTTATTTACTGTTGCCAAAAACTGTTTTTGGTAGCAACCAATCCCTGCGAGATAGCTGTGTTTTTTATATAAAATCTGTCAAAAAAATTTGTGCTTATAGCATTTCTCAAATATAAAGTACAATGTTCATAGGTGGATTTAACCCTTAGTTTTTATGCTTCATAACATTATATCTCATAGTAAAATAAAATTTAATTTGTATTAAATATATTTTAAGGTTTTATCAGTAACTTCATCTTAGAATATGAGTGTTCCTACAACATGTTCATCGATTCATAATTCCACACCTACCTATGCATCTTGACAATTAGTTGGAGAAATGGGCTGAGGGAGGATACAGCTCTCGCCTGCCTCAAGCCCGTTTAGTTTTTGTTAGGTAATGAATTTATTTTTTTATCAGTACAGTACAAATTTTTTTGTTCCCTGTCTCTGTCCCTAGTTGGAAGCACGAAAAAAAGTCTATTAAAAATCTTTCTCAAAAAGTAAAATAATTTAAGAGTCGGACATGTGAAATTGTCCATATATGGTCCCCCGCCCAAAATTGAATTTTATTTTATTTTATATTTTTAGTAGAAATCGTTTTTAAAGGAAAAACAAATAAGATCAAAGAAATAAGTAAATGGAGGAGATACTTTAATTCTCCCCTCCACCTCGTAATGGGGACATAGATGGAATGGTCCAATTGAAACAAAACTATAAGTTGGGTGATCAAACCGAATCAAAATAAAATTAGGTGACTAGGTATAAGTTGGACGATGAAATTGAAAAATAATAAATAATAAATATGTGACCAATATAAGTTGGACGATCAAATCGAAGTAAATTAATATTAGGTGAACAATATAAAACAAATCTGTAACTTCTTCAAGTAATCATGACTCAATCCATATTAATATTTTAAATATCTATTTTCTAGACTTTTTTTTTTTAAATAAAAGAATTAAGTCCTCAAAACCTTCTCTGTTTTTGAAATAGTCAGCATTTTGTAAATAAAAAAATATATTCAACAATAAATCATTAAAAATCTGCTAGGCATAGCTCAGAACGATGCTAACATTTATTACTATTTTAATTGAATTTAATGGTTATCCAGTCGTAACAACTATTGTCTAGAGTTGATAACATTTATTACTATTTTAATTTTGATTGAATTTAATGGTTATCCAACCGTAACAACTATTGTCTGTAGTTGATAGGTTAGTCCTTAATTGGATCAAAAATGCTGCTCAATTCGGGATAAAATCTCGGGTTTGGAGCCAAGGGCCGAGGTGGTGTGACCTCGGCCTTGGATCAGGTTCTGCAGCATGGTTGTGATTGGATTAACGTATCTTGTTAAATGCTAAGCAATTGACTTTGCTAGATTAATAAACTGATTATCATTTCTAATATTTAAAAAATCGTTGGATTATTTTTTTTACAAACATAAATAGATAAGTTATTTTCCTATATAACGTGTTAAATTTTTCGATGAACAATTTTTCAATATAATATTAATTTTGTAGAATAATATTATATGATATTAAAATTAATAAGTGTTTTGTTGTCGAGTTTTGATAGTGCTCATTTATGAACTCTTGCACCATAAGTTCATAAGAACAATAAATCAAATTCACGGCAGATTTAGTTAATAAAATTTATTATCGAGGCAAGCTATAAGTTGTTGCTCATTCGAGGCTAGTTCATAAGATCTCCAATTATCGAAGAGGAATCTTGACTTGTGATTTTCGTATTAAGGCAGGCTCTAGCTCATGATTATTTTATATTACAAGATTATTGCAATGTATATGCCTCGCAATTTAAGATGCTACAGCGCGCGAGAGAATTGTATCATTTCTACCTTGCCACACGAGCATGATGATTGTCTACTTGTATCCTGTCTCGCAAGATGATTGTTTCGCTCATTCCTCACTTCATGGAATGCCTCATCTCATGAGATGATTGTTTCACTTATTCATTGTTTTGCTCCGTGCCTCGCCCCACAAGATGATTAGTTTACTAATTACTCACTTTGTAAGTTGTTTGCTGCACAAGATATGATTGATCCACTCATTTATCTCTTCTCGA